CCCCTGAAACACCCCTACTCTTACTCTTGACTTTAACGAACGAAACTACAAAATCACCGGCCTCGTTCATCTACGTTTTAGTGTTCTTTCCCATCTTTTTCAGATTTATTTCATATGTAGCTTCAATTCATTCGTTTTTCTTAAAGTAACCATAGCTAGAGTAATCAGTCTTGACAAGATAATATTAAAAGGTTTATCAAAAGATGGCACGCGTAGCTGCATAATATCTACATTGTTTGTTATATTCCCTTTTTCTCCTTTGTTACTTCGGTTGAAAAAATAAAGCGATGAAAAAACAAACAAACAAAAAAAAAGCCTACCAGAAAACCTTCTGACCATCTAGATCTAGTACTCACAGACAAAGCAAGCGCCATAGAGCGGCCATATTATTATTATCTTATAGTGGGTAACTCACCACTAAATCTAGGCACTAGGCACAGCTTCCTTTTCTTTAACCTGACATTTTTGGATTCAAGTACAGAGAAGTACATCGACACAAAAATCGACATCCACTGCCGCGGGAAAATTAAGAAAGAAAGAAAGGAAGACAGAAAGAAACGACAGATGGAAAGAATGAAAAGTGAACCTACCAAGGGTGAAACTTAATGCACCCGCGAAACCAACCTCATCATAATATCTTCGCTCTGAACTAGATCTATAATAAAATAAATACAAAAGACAAATATCATGATTATACTTTTATTATAAGACCTAATACAGTAGTAATAAATATTCAAGATGCTAATTTACAAAAATAATTTACGTAGCGCATTTTGGCAACAAGAGTTCAAAGCTCAATATGATTGACACAAATAATGTACAACGAACATCATTCCCAGAGTTATCTTGTCATTTCCTTCCCCATCCCCCACCCTCTTTCTCTCTCTCTCTTTCTCTCTCTCTCTCTCTCTCTCTCTCTCTCTCTTTTCCATTCCACCCTCAAACTCACTCTCTCTGTCCCTCTTTAGTTTTACTGAAATTACTTTGATGATCAAGGAGGTAAAAACACTAAAAATACGTTTTCTTCAACAAAAAAGATGGGATTTTATCACCTTTTCCAACTTTTCTAGGAAACGTGAGTATCTAATAGTACTAATAACTGGATCGGTCATTCCGCATCATTTATTATCATTTTCATCTCAAACTCCCTACCTGTCGTACCGTAAACATTTCGTGATCCTGCAGCATAATTATTGTGTCATTAGTTTATCAGTTCAATCACATTTTGTACATAAAAATTCGCCTCTAATGTTTCCGAAATAAAAAGAAATGAACTTGTTAAGAAGGATTGCTGACTTGCAGGGACATTGATCTTTAATAAACCTTAATTTGAATATCCTCCCTAACAGTGACTTTATATTTCAGCAAACAAAATTCTCCTGGTTGCAAGTTTGTTATTGAAATAGACTTTAAAGTAAAAAAAAAAAGGTCTGACCAACTTGAATTGACCTAAACTTACGTATTTACTTATTTAATAATAGTAATTGAAAGAATCCTAGCTGTTGTGTCTTAATATTAGCCTGCACTATATGGTAATAATTGGAACTATATCTAGATCTAGATCGTATATGTTTGAATTTTGAAAAAAACCCCAAACCAAACCAAACCCGACATAGACTAAATTAAAAAAAAACCCAACAACCCCAAAAACAACGGCTTAACGCCTCATTAAACCCACGAAACTAACCCAAATCTAGATCTAAATTCGTTGTATGTGAAAAATAATTCCGCTGTAATTTATATGGGCTAGATTCTAGACACATAGACCACTATCTAAAAGCCCGCTGAGAGAGTCTTGATTCATCCATTACGGTGACATAAAATTTCCAGTCTAATCTTCGGGAACCGACGGAAAGCAGACATTGAGCAGGTCTGTTGGGTAACAATATGTTATGTGATTGTGCAAATTCTCAGATTTTTTTTTTCATGTGTGTGCTTTATATGCCCTCATCAACATAATTTCCATCATTTAGGGGGTGGACTTCGACCCTGGCTATGAGAGCTAATCCAGTTTGAGAGGGATACAAATAACAAAGTCCCAGTAGAAAGGCCGAAATATTCGAAAACAATTGTTTTTACGCGGGACTTGAACTTGAGTCTTCTGCGAGCGAGAGCACAGAGCCTAATCGCTACACCGGTCCTTATCTGAGAAAATGTAAATTGAAATGATGGTACTTTAATGTTTTGCACCCTATTGAACAACGTTTAAGTCATGTTTTAGAAATGGAGCTGCTTTGGTGTCGTTGGTCGGGAACTAACCATGATTAATTTACGCGATACACACCTACAGAAAGATAAAGATACTTGGTAAAATATTTTATCTTCATTTGAATCGGTTGTTCTTTTCTTTTTGAGTGGAAGGCCAAAAGCCCAACCAAAACATCAGATGCATGTACGTGAGGCAGCGTGGTGGAATCAGGCTCTCGTCAAAATAATCAAAGTAAAGAAACTTGCATTTTTCCGCAGTTTGTGAATTGTTATTAAATTTTTGTTTTTTGGCTCAACCCCTTTCATGCCAATTAAAGAACTTATTTCTGTGTGGATTTTTCTGAAAAACGTTGATTAAAGGCACAAAAAATGTAAATTTTCAGTAACCAGGGACTTTCAAGGGAAGGAAATAACTCATCTTTGGCGGCCATTTTTTCACTAATTTTTCCTCTGAAAACAGGTAACCCCCACCTCCTTCATTTGCAGATATCTCGACTTGTTATCAAGATAAAAGGAGTTTTTTTCCATTCAAATAAAGACAAGTAAACAAGCTTTAAGACGATACCAATAACTCTACAGGCCCCGGAATTGGCGAGAGCCTGATTCCACCACGCTGCCTCACATAAATGTGTACATCAGTGCGGAGGAATTATGAAATACACTAAACACTGCATTGTAGTTACATACATGTAGAAGGAAGACACTCATCCCCAGCGCCGCCATCCCGCTAAGATAAACATCTCACACTCACCCACACGATGAACAACCGTTCAGCGGGAACTGCTCGTTGGAGATTATTCCTCAAGTTGAGCACTTAGCCCGCAGATTATGAACCCGGCAGCGGGTAAATTTTAGCTGGCAACTCTGCTCCGAGCTCCAAGCGAATGACACCAAATAAAACGCGAACTCGAAACCACGGTCCGAACTACAAAGTGCAAAAGACTTCCTTCGTAACAAAAATCTCGCATGAGAACTGAAGAGAAAAGAAAAGAAACGAAACAAGCCAAACAGCAAAACAAGTCGGTAATCCGCTCCAACGCTCTGGAATTTTTTCTCCCGCCTCGAGATTTCTTCCGCAGCCCCTTGCAGACGAGAAGTAACTAGCCAGCGCACGCCGACATCTTTGGCCAAACACAACAACAGAAAGCCGGCAATAATACTCGCTTGTTTTCTTTCTACCTTCCTTCTCTTCCTTGGCCTGTTATTCTTGCCTCCTTAAAGGCGCAGATAATTGTGTAACGATCGTTCTTAGTCGGGCTCGGCTTCAGTCGCTCTATCGCCAAGAGTTCGCTTCCCGCCGTGTCTTGACGGCACCGCCTACTTTCGCTTTCTTGCCAGCAGTCGCCTCCCCCTGGAACTTCGGCTGACGTGAGGCGTCTTGAGAGACTGCGGAATTCTGCGAGTAAGCACGCACGTCTGAGAATTACTCCTCCAGAGGGCGGGGTCACCTGACAGTGATTGACGGCTCATCCTGCCCTTACCCCGCTGCTCATATCTATCTCCACTCAACACGAAGGCCAAGATGATTATAAGTCTGTTTTGCTTTTACTTCTCAGCTCATGGGAAGACATTGATGGTATCTGAAGGATTAGTAGTAGCTATTCTCTTGTGAATGTAAGAATTCAGCTCGAGAAGGCGACTTTCTGGCTTCTCGAATGAGGTCACCAATGTGCAAAATTTTCTCTCCTGCAGAAGTGCAGTTAAGACCAGTGTATCAATTCTTTGATGTTGACAATACCCAGCGTCGTCGCGACAATTAGTGGAAATAAGTCTAATTTAGAACTCACAGCATTCGCGTTAATAGGGCTTATTGGTCATTCTGTTTTTACTGTTGTTGATTTTTTACCCATTTGTTGACATTTGTGGGTTGGGGGCGGGGGTGGGTTTAATATTAGAAACACATGGCAGCAAACTAACAGGAAACATTTCCCAAACTCCCGCTGTTAATAAAAATTTAGGAAATGATGAAAGACTTTCACGAAGAGAAACATTTTGCATATAACAAGTTTTTCCAGTGACGAGCTGGTACTTCAATCAATGTAGCATCCATCCTGGTCTCCTCGGTTCGAGCGACTATAATATTGTAATAATAATAATAATAATAATAATAATAATAATAATAATAATTTATAATATAGCATTTGTATAGCGCATATCCCCGCTCAAAAGCAGGCTCTGTGCGCTTTACCCTATAATATTACCCCAGCAGACCATAGAACACTCCGAAACATTCTCAGCTTCCCGGGAAGCATACAGTGCAAGCAGCTGATTAAGCGCTCAAACACTAACAGACTGACAAGATCTTTCGCTGTCTATAGCCGGGTACCCATTCCCACCTGGGTGAAGTGAGGAAAATATGTGTAAAGTGCCTTTCCCAAGGACACAACGTCGGTTCCCTGACGGGATTCGAACCCACGACCTTACGGTTGCGAGTCCGAGAGCCTAACCACTAGGCCACCGACCCCACACATAACCATTCTGGATGTGGTTGCTTGGAAGTTGTTGTTTTTCCCAGTCATTTTACATCATGGTTGGGTTCTTTCGGAGATGAACGTTCAACTCGGAGGTCCCGCTTCTTAGATAACCTTATAGTGTTGATAGAGGCGTTAAACCCATACTGCGGCGACTCTCACTAGACTTAGAAGTGAAACTGAAAGTCTGTCCAACCTCACTTTCAAATAGCCATGCTATGTGAAATGGGGCACTAAATCCTCTCATAGGTGCGTGATTAACTCAGCTGGTATCGTTGTGGTCTAATCTGCAGATTGACCTAGTTCGGATCCTTTACGAAGGGCTCTTCAGCTAAAAATAGATGATAGATAGCATTTGTAGAGCGCAAATCCCTGCTCAACAGCAGACTCTATGCGCTTCACAATCTATACCATTACCCTAGTAGACCTAAGAGCATTCTGAAACAACCTCAACTTCCTGGGTAGCATACAACGCAAGCGGTCATTTATAGGCGCAAAAACACTAACACATTGACAAGATCTTTCGCTGTCTATGGCGGGTACCCATTCCCACCTGGGTGAAGTAATGAAAATTTGTGTAAAGAGTCTATCCCAAGGACACAACGTCAGGCCCGCGGCTCGAATCCCAGAAACCGCAGCCTCGCGATTACAAGTCCGGTAGCCTAACCCCTAGGCCACAGACGCCACCGGCTAGAGGCGGACAAAAGCCTACTTGGGGCCTCCCATGCTTAAAATAATTTTATACCATACTTGAAGATGTTTTAGCATTGCACTTCCGGTAAAAAATAGATCTATCCTTATATTTAACACGTGAAATATAGGCTAGGCCTAAGCTGACGATATCTCACACGTGAAATATAAAAAATTGCATAAATTACTTCGCGCAATATATTCGCCTTCTAGGCTAACCTTCTGTAAGTAAAGTAGATCTATAGACTTGAATCATAGTAGTAGTAGATACAAGATATCTAGGCCTATTCCTAGACCGAGCAATGTTTTGGCAGTCGCTCCTCCCACCCCCCTCCCCACCTCGTAGAAAAACTTTGTTGCAAAACGTGCGCACCATAGGTACCTAAATGAAGTGCCAAACACCAGTCTCCCACTGTCCCTATAGTAGAGAGTAGGCACAATTCTTTACCTTGGCCTTAATTTTGTTCCAAATTGAGCCAAATGGTGCGCATCACAGCAAAGATAGTAAATAACAAGATGGGCCACTCAGCCAAAAAGTGTCCGCAGGAAGTATGCTCTTTGCTTCATGTGGCGCTGCAGTCTGTTTTGAAGTTCTCTTTCGTTTTTCCAGAAGAAGAATAGGAATAGCACCTCCTTGCGTGCGCAGATCGACTGCTGTTCATCAGCAGTTCGGGTTCGTTCAGTACGAAGTTTTAGTTTTTATTAAATTTTAATGACCTCTCGCCTTTCATTCTAAAGTCAAATTAAACGAAGAAAACAATCACCCTTTCCTCCGGAAGAGTTTTTTTTGTCAGCGTAACCATTTTAAAAAAGCGTTCTTCTACTTCTTCCGAAATTCATTCAAAAACTTGCTAGTTTCACTTTGATTTTTTAAACTCAAGTAGGATAACTCTGTTCGCTAAAGGTGCGCTTTTGCGAAGAGGGCGCCACCGAATTTTGAGGACACTTTTTTAATTGGCCCCTCTTGTTATGTAGACTCTTTGACCATAGTAACACGATTACACTCGTTGAAACTCGTGATTACAACTTGACAATTTCACTCGTAGGATAAATCATGATCTACCACCACAACTCATGTAATAAATTCTTCTTAAAGCACTTTTTGCCCATGACGTCATGGCAATCAACGTGTGGCCACAGGAAGAGAGTTAAAACCCCGGTTATGCCTAGAAGACTAAGTAAGTAAGTTCCCGAATGTAGGGCTAAACTAGACTTTCACCAAGAGATGATTAAAAACAATTTTTTGGTCCCTTGTCCATTTCTATGAGACTGACGCCATCTGGTTAGTAGAAAAATGTGCCTATGATAGTGCCCAATATTATTATATTATTATAACATTGTAATTGTTACAGAAAGAGTTTCAATGTATATAGATGTATTTCAAGCATCTGGGAGCAACGATGGTTTTAGATATGATGGTGGTGGTGAGTGATTATGTGAAATGTTTTTTAATGTAAATACTTAGCCTATTAAGGATATATGCAATCACTAACCGTCATCTGATTTTTTATGGTAGCGTTAATCCTATCTTCCACTGCTTCAAAGAGTCACGAGGGACGTGGGCACAGTCTATCACGTTCCCTATACTGAAGCCATCTTTAATGTCACGGTGAAGTTCCGAAACGGTGGGCACAGTCTCTGCTAAGATGACCTTGTTAGAGTCACTTTTACTTAGAGTTACTTGTTTGTGTGTGTGTGTGTGTGTG